CGCCAAAGTAGCGTCATGGTGTCTACATTCTCTGCACTCTGGAGTATCAGTGAACTTCTTGACAAATTGCATGTGGAAGGAATTAATCCCGTTGATCAGCACTCGAATGAGCTTTTGTTGCACAGGGTGCCCTTCAGGCAATAAGTGAAGAAGCGCAGTGGTTGTGCCGAAATCGTGGTTGCCGATCCCCTTCCAACAGGAGGAGTTGCATTGTTCCAATTCAGAGGCAATCTTGTTACGGAAGGAATGACTAAGAGCCTTGCTCATAACTTTGCAGTCGCCACTTCCAAAGGTCCAAAGCAGTCTACCCTCATTGTTGCTAACTTGCAAGTTGTCAATGTTCAAATGAAGCTGCAAATACTCCAAATCCTTTTTAAGCTGGGAAACAGGGCCAATCTTTTTGATAGAGGGAAGGACTTTCTCCCAGCTCTGAATCACAGCATCCTTGAAGGCGGGCCTCTTGAAGGCATGATTGTTCCAGAAGAGCAGGTTTCTCCAGACAAAGAAAAACTCAGGGTCCATAAGCAAGTAGTTTTTCTGAAACAGAATCCGGGCCGAAAAGGTCCCAAGCTTGCTTCCGTGTGCCGCTGTACGAATAGCTGTGCGAAGCTGCCTGAGCTGATCCTTAGTCGGTCTCAGTGTAGCGCCTGCATACGTAAGCATGGGAATAATGACCGTGCGGACAATCATATTGGTAGTGGCCGCAGGTTGGTTGGCCCTTGCAAGCAATTGCAGCGCGGTAATAGCTCTGTGTATTTTCTTTTCAAACCAAGTCTTAGATGAAAAGAGCCCAATGGCCAGGGGAACACCAAGGTAATCGACCGATTTGACTTCCTTGACAACTTGTCCATCCCGCCAACAAAGCGGTGTGGACTTCTTCACATCTCTGATTTGACAAGTCTTAATTTGCGTGCGGAAATTATGAAGTGTATCCCAAGCTTCGGTACGTCCAAAGGCATGCTGGAGTTCACTCGAGTCACCTTCCGTGAAAAGAAGCCTATCATCCACATAAACATAATTGTACACAGCGCTGTTGAGATCTCTTGACCAAACCGCCAGCACAAGGCTAGCAGCGGCCATACTGATGGGGTCACCCTGAGGCAACCCGATCGTCCCAAGAACAGGCCGTCTGGCTACTATGCCGGAGGTGGAAACGAATCTCCTCATGTGCCTGATGGAATGAATCCAGGTGCCAACAGCCGCCTGATGCATACCCCATTCGGATAAGGCATGACAAGCAAGCCAATGTGGGATACAATCGAAGAACTTGACCGTGTCGATTGCCACACCATGAAATGAGAGGTGCGTCTCATTCTGGCATTTCTCAGCAGATAGAGAGGCGTGCAGCCATGCCTGATACCCACTGCGCTGAGTTTTTTGATTGTGGCTCAAGTGGAACGGGGGGGGATCCCCAAATTCATGGCCAAGGCTCGGTTCACCCTTAGCTCCGGTCTTCTGCCGCTGAAGAAAGATGCCCTAAATTGATCGAGTTGAACGTTGAGGACCACATTGGGTGCGCTGTCAAATTTGTCCACTGCTTGAAGCGCTGCCTCTGCTGCAAAGTGGAATCTCTAGTTGCCTCTTAATCCGCCAGAGCTCCTTGAACATCTGCTCTTGTTACCATCCACCAACCTAAATGCAGAAATCCCTAATGCAGGGGCCATCATTCCAAGCTGGAATCGCCTGGGATACCGTGCAAAAAAGGAACCAAGTCGTTCTGGTTGTTTGAGCATTTTCAGCGCGGAGAAACAACCAACCAACCAACCAACCAACCAACCAAACAACCAACCAACCAACCAACCAACCAACCAACATTGAAAGTGAACAAACATGCAAGGTGTTCACCTTGCAGAGCTGGGATTTTTTGTGCGGCATGCCCGGGCCCTCAGGCCCGGGCAATGGTCACCTGTGATGCCGCATGATGGACCACCGGGCAGTAGTTGTCCCCGAGGCAGGACACCAGCTCCACCTTCCGTCGGACACAAATCCATGGGGCCCCTTGCCGGTATTACCCCTCCCGGTTGCTCCAGAGATCCGAAGGTCACAAGGGTGGAACATGCAAAACGTGGCGCCTGCAAGAGGAAAGCAAAAACCCAATACAGTCTAATACCAATGCGCTACCCGGCGCTTTTAGAGGCTGGGAGCAACCCTGCTAGGACTGTCGCTTTTTACTTGCTTTCAGTCAACTATATGATCTCTCTTTCCCGACTGACTTGCAAATCATGGACCCATCCTACGATTGCTTCTTGGACAAAGTCATGGCACCGGGAAACATAAATACAACGGCCATCTCATTTCCAGCAACAGGACACCCATGACTCTAACTTGTGTTCCCACTCCTGGCTTGGCGGTGGTGGGGCAGGTTCCTGAAGGGTTTGGCAGGTTCCTGAAGGGTTCTGGGTAGGTTCTGGGGGTTGCTTGGGACACTCCTTGGACTTGCTAAGCCAAAAAAGCACCTATTTTCAAGCAAGCTGGCCTAGAAAAACACCTATGCCTCCCTTCATTTTGGCTTCCTTCCTAACCCAACATCTTCGAATTTCCGTCGGCTTCGGCTGCTCGGACTTCGCCTCCAAGCCGGCGCGCTCCAGCGTGGCGGCGGCCGGCGCCTTGCCCATGCCCTGCCGCAAGGCCCCGAGGCCCCGAACACCACCTTCAAACGAAATGGCATGGCCCAGGTCATCGAATGGATTCCCCAGGTTGGCATCTGCTTCATCCCCCGGTCCAGAAAAAAAAGGCGAAACACAAACAACACACAAAGCGATTCCCAGGCAATGCTTGGTGGTTCTCTGGGACAAAGGATACCTGAAAAGAATGGGGAAGTCATCCGGTACTGGTACAACCAAAGGAAACCTACACTGCTTCGCACCTCAAACATCGGTCCAATCAAGCACTCTACAAAGGACAGCCCTGTGACCTGGCAAGGACACCATGTGTGTGTGTTTTTGCCGGAGGAAACCGAACAGTTTCTGGGGCCCCTGGCTGGTTTCGCTTTCGGTGTCCCATTTTAATTGTACAAAATGCACCCCTCCAAATCAAGATTTAAAACGAAGGCGTTAATTAGTGCGTCGTGCCTGAAATATATCATTCCCATTGGGGGCTGGTGTGAGACATCATGCAACGATGCCTCGTGATGTACAAAATGGAACATGGACAGCCCTTCAACAAGCGGAAGCCGATGTTGAGAGAGGTTGCCTCGCCTTGGTTGACCATGATATGTGTCATAGGTTCCCTGAGCAGAATTCCTTGTCATGTGTTTTCTACATTCCCTCTTGAGAGTTCCATGACCATCCCTTCCAATCCTAGGCAAGCAGGTCTTTCATTTTTGTCTTTTTCTTTTTAATTATCAGCTTTACATAAGATCTGCTGGTCGTGACCCATTTTGGTGGAATGCTCGAGGAAAAAACACCACTACAGTACATGCATAAAACAAACGCACACATGTTCTGTGCTGATGTTGCAGTTCAAGCCTGGAATAGTTGTGCATCTGAAGTATGGGCACTGCAGCTCCATGGCAATCCGGCACATCCGGTATCTTGCCCATGTTGAAATCTCGCCCACCCATGTCTGAGTTTCATTAAACCCCTGGCAAAATCCCATACCAGCAAGCATTGGCTGGACCAACAAACAGGGCCTCGGGCAAAGCACTCCGCTGGGCGGTCCCTTTGTCACACAACGACTTCATCCCGAATCCCCGTCTTCGTTGGACACAGAAGTGGGATTGCATTCTCATGAGTACCTTGTCACCTCAGAGGGGCTTCATCGCATGTGGGATTCCAACTCATATTCCATCCGTCCAAGAATTATCCATCCTTCGGCCCCTCGGGAAATCTCATATGTCGTTTAATCATCACACGAAAGGAAGCTACTATTCAAATGGGTACGGCGAACAACCACCCCTCAGCTGTGTCTGCAAACAGTAGAACCCTTTTGGAACCCTTTTAACATAATTAGCAAGCAACAAATGCTTGACTCAACCAAAAGCGGGAAACTATGCCAGGATCCCTGTCCCTTGTTGTCTCTTCTGGGGGGACAGCCAGGGTTCAGCAGCATGCCGTCTGGACGGCGAGATCTGTTCCAAGTCTCAAGCTCAATGGATGGTCAACTAGGGCGACTCCTGGTAAACCCGAAACACAAAACCCATTCAAAGCTAATGGGAGTAGCAAAATGCTTTCTAATTCCCAGGTCAAAACTCGGGTCCCTCTTGAAGCATGATCATGCTGGCTGACTATGGGATCCGCCTTAGGTACCTAGCTTTGAACACCGCCAAATGCCAGCCCATCAAAGCAGGTTGGGAAAAAAAGCAACACTCCTGCCTGTGATGCCGTTGAGTGCGCCCTCAACGGGATCTTGCTGTGCCGGCAGCACACTGCGGCTGCCATGGCAGCAGTCAGAGACAGTGGCCCCTGGCCTGAGCAACACTCAGTCAGAAACAATGGGAAGCTCTGCAGGGCTTCAAACACGTCATGCACATCCAAACGCCGCCAACAATCCCCATTCGTTTAAATGGTTCCGGAAGAGCTGAGCAATTCCAAAACCGGGCCGCTCGCTTGAGCAAGCGCAACGCCGCCATGGGAGACTCAATAGCTCTGGCCAAACTGAGCCCTCGGCTTTGCCACCGCCCACTGCGCGTCGCCACGCGTGACACGCCGCGCAATGGCGCGCCGCGCGCCGTGCCCGCGACGCGGGCCCACACGGGCCGGGCCAAGCCGCGGCTCAGCATGGCTCTAGAGACTGAGAGCCGTGGAATTTCCGGTCGAAAGGATTGGGTATCTGTCAAAATTGAGGAAAACACTGTGGCTGTCCTTCTGGTGTCCGGTAAAAACAACGCTGAATAGGGTACCCTCCCAAAAACATGCACCCAATCAAGAATCAGTCATGCGGGGTGCAAATCTGAAAACCCATTGGTGCGCACATGCATCGGTGACTGTGGCCCTCTGCAAGTTCTCTCAAGCCTGCCAAGAGACAAGCAGGAAGCACACAAAATCGACTGTCAGCCCCTCCTCGCTGCCAGGAGTTGGAAACCCTGGCGACAAAGACACCTCAGTGACAGCCAGAGACGGCACGCTGCAATACAATCGATGAGGGATGCCCAAATCAACCTTGAACTGTGACGTATTGTTCCTCTTCGGCGGAAACGCAGGTTGCATGGTTCAGCATGGCTGGTACTCAGCAATCTGCCCAGTCTCACATTGCCCCTCCTTGACTCATTGGCGGTATGGAGTTTGAACGCCTTTTTTCTCCTACGTTCTATTTGCAAGGCACCCAGGGTGAGGCCAACCCCCTGTTTAAGCACCGCTGAACACCCGTTGTTTGCCCGGGTCTGGTTGCTTCCAATTTTGCAAACCTGGACCATGCCGCACCAATGCCGCACCACCCAGGCCGCCCGGCCGGCGAACTCCCAAGGGTCGAGTCCTCATCCAGCCGCCGCATAAACTTTCGGAGGCCCTGCTTCACGTGCTGACCTGAGAGCCACGTGAGCCGCGAAGTGAGCAGGAGGCAACTCCATCACCCCTGCTTTTTCTTCTGCGCTTAGGGTCATGGAACCCAAACTAAGAACCGCTGGGGGTCCAAAGAATCAAGTGCCCACCTGACGAGGATTTGAAGCATTTGCTGATGTGGGCACTCCATCCGTCCACAGCCCTTACCGCCCCAGCTGTCTTCTCCTGCTTCATATACTGCCACACAACATGACATCATGTGTTCACAGTTCTGCACAACCCTGCAGACTCCGCCTCAAAGCATGCAGGTCTGCCCCAAAATTCGCCAAATCTGTTCCTAGGCGTTCAGGCCTTTCAGGTCATGTGGGCCTGCGGCATGATGGAACCACGGACAATCCTTCTGCCAAGGTGTTTATGCTGCAGCCTGCGACCAGGCTGGCAGCAAGATACTTCCCCGGCTTTGCCAGGGTTGGGCAAGGGCATCACAGGGTCGGGACAGGCTTGCATGCTGCGTGCCTTCTAAGTTGTTCCTAGGTCTTCGTGTGCTACCCGGAGTCAGGCAACACGAGGGAACCATGGATCTTGCTCTCCGCCAAAGCTCCAGTCCAGCCAAGGGCGAAAGGATTCGGCCCCTGCTGCAGTGAGCTTGGCAGTGGGCAGTCCTCTTCTGCAAAAAGCGCTCGCATCTCCTGTTTCCACGGAGTTCATGCCATCTAGGCACGCAAGGCCCGAGACATGATGGAGCCGCGGACTCAAGATGTTTATTTGCAAAAGGCACTCTTCCAAGCCCGTGACAAGATACATACTTGGCTGTGGTACTCCTTCAAACGACACAGGAACTCGCTCACGCAAACAATCAATCCATCCAGAGTAAGACGTTGCTGATACCACCCCACCTGTCTTCTCGCAAGACTTCTGTCACACTGCTGCTTAATATACGTCTGATGTGCTGTTACAGACTCTCCTTTTGGCTTTCACAGCGCTGCACCCCCATGAGCGCATGTGAATTGTTAAGCATAGTAGAGCCATGTCACGCTACGTTGGCTGTCTCTTCTTCTGTAGTTTCAGCTTGCCTCAGAGATCTCGCCCGAGTGCTTGGAACCAAATTTGTCCAAATCTGTGCCTAGGTGTTCAGGCCTTTCAGGTCATGTGGGCCTGCGGCATGATGGAACCACGGACAATCCTTCTGCCAAGGTGTTTATGCTGCAGCCTACGACCAGGCTGGCAGCAAGATACTTCCCCGGCTTTGCCAGGGTTGGGCAAGGGCATGACAAGGTCGGGGCAGGCTTGCATGATGCGTGCTTTCTCAGCTGTTCCTAGGTCTTCGTGTGCTACCCGGAGTCAGGCAACACGAGGGAACCATGGATCTTGCTCTCCGCCAAAGCTCCAGTCCAGCCAAGGGCGAAAGGATTCGGCCCCTGCTGCAGTGAGCTTGGCAGTGGGCAGTCCTCTTCTGCAAAAAGCGCTCGCATCTCCTGTTTCCACGGAGTTCATGCCATCTAGGCACGCGAGGCCCGAGACATGATGGAGCCGCGGACTGCTCGTCTGCCAAGGTGTTTATTTGCCAAAGGCACTCTTCCAAGCCCGTGACAAGACACATACTTGGCTGTGGTACTCCTTCAAAAGACACAGGAACTCGCTCACGCAAACAATCAATCCATCCAGAGTAAGACGTTGCCGATACCACCCCACCTGTTTTCTCGCAAGACTTCTGTCACACTGCTGCTTAATATACGTCTGATGTGCTGTTACAGACTCTGCTTTTGGCTTTCACAGCGCTGGACCCCCATGAGCGCATGTAAGTTGTAAAGCATAGTAGAACCATGTAGCGCTACGTTGGCTGTCTCTGCTTCTGGAGTTTCTTGTTGCCTCCAGATCTCGCCAAATCTGTTCCTAGGCGTTGAGGCCTTTCAATGTGGGATGCTGCAGCCTACGACCGGGGTGACAGCAAGATACTTCCCCTGCTTTGCCAGGGTTGGGCAAGGGCATGACAAGGTCGGGGCAGGCTTGCATGATGCGTGCTTTCTCAGCTGTTCCTAGGTCTTCGTGTGCTACCCGGAGTCAGGCAACACGAGGGAACCATGGATCTTGCTCTCCGCCAAAGCTCCAGTCCAGCCAAGGGCGAAAGGATTCGGCCCCTGCTGCAGTGAGCTTGGCAGTGGGCAGTCCTCTTCTGCAAAAAGCGCTCGCATCTCCTGTTTCCACGGAGTTCATGCCATCTAGGCACGCAAGGCCCGAGACATGATGGAGCCGCGGACTGCTCGTCTGCCAAGGTGTTTGTTTGCCAAAGGCACTCTTCCAAGCCCGTGACAAGATACAGACTTGGCTGTGGTACTCCTTCAAACGACACAGGAACTCGCTCACGCAAACAATCAATCCATCCAGAGTAAGACGTTGCTGATACCACCCCACCTGTCTTCTCGCAAGACTTCTGTCACACTGCTGCTTAATATACGTCTGATGTGCTGTTACAGACTCTGCTTTTGGCTTTCACAGCGCTGCACCCCCATGAGCGCATGTAAATTGTAAAGCACAGTAGAACCATGTAGCGCCACGTTGGCTGTCTCTGCTTCTGGAGTTTCTTGTTGCCTCCAGATCTCGCCAAATCTGTTCCTAGGCGTTGAGGCCTTTCAGGTCATGTGGGCTGCTTGCAGCCTACGACCGGGGTGACAGCAAGATACTTCCCCGGCTTTGCCACGGTTGGGCAAGGGCATGACAAGGTCGGGGCAGGCTTGCATGATGCGTGCTTTCTCAGCTGTTCCTAGGTCTTCGTGTGCTACCCGGAGTCAGGCAACACGAGGGAACCATGGATCTTGCTCTCCGCCAAAGCTCCAGTCCAGCCAAGGGCGAAAGGATTCGGCGCCTGCTGCAGTGAGCTTGGCAGTGGGCAGTCCTCTTTTGCAAAATGCGCTCATCTGCTGTTTCCACGGAGTTCATGCCATCTAGGCACGCAAGGCCCGAGACATGATGGAGCCGCGGACTGCTCGTCTGCCAAGATGTTTATTTGCCAAAGGCACTCTTCCAAGCCCGTGACAAGATACATACTTGGCTGCATGTATTCGAACGACACAGCAACTGGCAGACGCAAACAAACAAACAATCCATCCAGAGTAAGATGTTGCCGGTGTCTTCTCGCTAGACTTCTGTCACACTGCTGCTTAATCTACGTCTGATGTGCTGTTACAGACTCTACTCTTAGCCCTATGAGCGCATGTGAATTGTTAAGCATAGTAGAGCCATGTCACGCTACGTTGGCTGTCTCTTCTTCTGTAGTTTCAGCTTGCCTCAGAGATCTCGCCCGAGTGCTTGGAACCAAATTTGTCCAAATCTGTGCCTAGGTGTTCAGGCCTTTCAGGTCATGTGGGCCTGCGGCATGATGGAACCACGGACAATCCTTCTGCCAAGGTGTTTATGCTGCAGCCTACGACCAGGCTGGCAGCAAGATACTTCCCCGGCTTTGCCAGGGTTGGGCAAGGGCATGACAAGGTCGGGGCAGGCTTGCATGCTGCGTGCCGTCTCAGCTGTTCCTAGGTCTTCGTGTGCTACCCGGAGTCAGGCAACACGAGGGAACCATGGTTCTTGCTCTCCGCCAAAGCTCCAGTCCAGCCAAGGGCGAAAGGATTCGGCCCCTGCTGCAGTGAGCTTGGCAGTGGGCAGTCCTCTTCTGCAAAATGCGCTCGCGTCTGCTGTTTCCACGGATTTCATGCCATCTAGGCACGCAAGGCCCGAGACATGATGGAGCCGCGGACTGCTCGTCTGCCAAGGTGTTTATTTGCCAAAGGCACTCTTCCAAGCCCGTGACAAGATACATACTTGGCTGCATGTATTCGAACGACACAGCAACTGGCAGACGCAAACAAACAAACAATCCATCCAGAGTAAGATGTTGCCGGTACCGCCCCACCTGTCTTCTCGCTAGACTTCTGTCACACTGCTGCTTAATCTACGTCTGATGTGCTGTTACAGACTCTACTCTTAGCCCTATGAGCGCATGTGAATTGTTAAGCATAGTAGAGCCATGTCACGCTACGTTGGCTGTCTCTTCTTCTGTAGTTTCAGCTTGCCTCAGAGATCTCGCCCGAGTGCTTGGAACCAAATTTGTCCAAATCTGTGCCTAGGTGTTCAGGCCTTTCAGGTCATGTGGGCCTGCGGCATGATGGAACCACGGACAATCCTTCTGCCAAGGTGTTTATGCTGCAGCCTACGACCAGGCTGGCAGCAAGATACTTCCCCGGCTTTGCCAGGGTTGGGCAAGGGCATGACAAGGTCGGGGCAGGCTTGCATGCTGCGTGCCGTCTCAGCTGTTCCTAGGTCTTCGCGTGCTACCCGGAGTCAGGCAACACGAGGGAACCATGGATCTTGCTCTCCGCCAAAGCTCCAGTCCAGCCAAGGGCGAAAGGATTCGGCCCCTGCTGCAGTGAGCTTGGCAGTGGGCAGTCCTCTTCTGCAAAAAGCGCTCGCATCTTCTGTTTCCACGGAGTTCATGCCATCTAGGCACGCAAGGCCCGAGACATGATGGAGCCGCGGACTGCTCGTCTGCCAAGGTGTTTATTTGCCAAAGACACTCTTCCAAGCCCGTGACAAGATAAATCCGCCGACCCCATGCCTGGTCCAGAATGGACCATGCTTTCGGCATGAGGGCGGTGTGTTCTGTGTTGCTTTTGTTGATATGCTTTCTATAAGTTTAATGTGAAAATGACTATGTAGATATATATATATATATATAACTTATATGTCCCTTGGCTTGGGGCGGCCCTTGGGGCTGGTTTCTACGTCGGCTGGATTTCTGGATTTCTGGATTTCTGGATCTCTGGATTTCTGGATCTCTGGATTTCTGGAATTCTGGATTTGCCCCCCCCCCCCCCCTCACCCCCCCCCCTCCCCCCCCCCTCCCCTCCCCCCCCCGCCCCCCCCCCCTCCCCCCCCCCCCCGCCCCTCCCCCCCCCCCTTCCCTTCCCCCCTTCCCTCCCCTCCCCCCCTCCCCCCCCCCTCCCCCCCCCCTCCCCCCCCCCCTCCCCCCCCCCCCTCCCTCCCCCCCCCCCCCCGGCTTCTTCCCGTAGTCTTCCGGCTTCTCCCAGTAATCTTCCGTAATCTTTCGGCTTCTTCCCGTAGTCTTCCGTAGTCTTCCGGCTTCTTCCCGTAGTCTTCCGTGGTCTTCCGCCTTCTTCCCGTAATCTTCCGTAATCTTTCGGCTTCTTCCAGTAATCTTTCGTAGTCTTCCGGCTTCTTCCCGTAGTCTTCCGTAGTCTTCCGTAGTCTTCCGTAGTCTTCCGTAGTCTTCCGGCTTCTTCCCGTAGTCTTCCGAAATCTTTCAAGCTTCTTCCCGTAAATTTCCGCAATCTTTCGGCTTCTTCCCGTAGTCTTCCGTAATCTTCCGGCTTCTTCTCCTAGTCTTCCGATACTGTTTCGGGACCAAACAACGCGCGTGTCCTGTGCTTTCGGGCTTCTTCCCTAGGCTTCGGGTAGTCTTCCCCCACCCCTCCGCCCCCCCCTGTGTCTGTCTATGTCTGTCTACGTATCTGCATCTGTCTTCGTGTCCGCGAAGACCCCCCCTGCCCCTGCGTGTCTGTCTGTGTCTCTTTGTGTCTGTCTGGGTCTGTCTGCGTCTGTCTTCGTGTCCGCGAAGACCCCTTGCGTGTCTGTCTCTGTCTCTTTGTGTCTGTCTGTGTCTGTCTGTGTCTGTCTACGTATCTGCGTCTTTCTTCGTGTCCCCCCCCCCGCGTGTCTGTCTGTGTATTTGTGTCTGTCTGGCTCTGTCTGCGTCTGCCTGCGCATCTGCGTCTGTCTTCGTGTCCGCGAAGACCCTCCCCCCCCGCTGCGTGTCTGTCTGCGTGTCTTTGTGTCTGTCTGTGTCTGTCTACATATCGCGTGCTTTCTCTCGTCCCGGGCCGAAATTCTAAGGTGTGTGGGGGCGGCGGAACCAGGCCGCAGGCCATTAAATACTTGGCTGTGGTACTCCTTCAAACGACACAGGAACTCGCTGACGCAAACAAGCAATCAATCAATCCAGAGCAAAACGCTGCCGGTACCGCCCCACCTGTCTTCTCGCTAGACTTCTGTCACACTGCTGCTTAATCTACGTCTGACGTGCTGCTACAGACTCTACTCTTAGCCCTATGAGCGCATGTGAATTGTTAAGCCATGTCACGCTACGTGTCTCTTCTTCTGTAGTTTCAGCTTGCCTCAGAGATCTCGCCCGAGTGCTTGGAACCAATTTTGTCCAAATCTGTGCCTAGGTGTTCAGGCCTTTCAGGTCATGTGGGCCTGCGGCATGATGGAACCACGGACAATCCTTCTGCCAAGGTGTTTATGCTGCAGCCTACGACCAGGCTGGCAGCAAGATACTTCCCCGGCTTGGCCACGATTGACAAGGGCATGACACAGTCGCGGCAGGCTTGCATGCTGCGTGCCTTCTCAGCCGCTGCTAGGTCTTCGTGTGCTACCCGGAGTCAGGCAACACGAGGGAACCATGGATCTTGCTCTGCGCCAAGCCCCAATCCAAAAGGATTCGACCCCCGCTGCAAAGAATGTTTGGCCTGGCAGTTGTCTTAAGTTCAGCCTCGCCTGCAACCACATGCTCAATCCTAGATTCCAGATTGGAGTAGCTCTCAACGTTTGTGCAAAGGTGCAGGCGTTGCAGGCTTCGCGACATGATTGCCACAATGGTCTTTGAGTCATTGCATCCCAAGTGTGGGAGGCAAACTGAACTTGTGATCCATGCGTACCAGAAACAAAGAAATGGCCCTGCCACAAACAACCAGTGAGGCGGCGTGCACAAGGGCCCCGGGCGGACATACAAGCCTGTCACACTTCTGCCACCTCGGCTGACTGAATGTCAGTGCCAAGTAAACATTGACATGATTGATGAAATGTGGGCCAAGATCAGAAGTTCACTGTACCCTCACCAAACAAAAAACTATGGTGCATTGAGCAAGGCCCTGAAATTTTCTTCAATCCTGGATGTGTGATCTTGCCAGTGATTTCTTTTTTACATAACTACAGTGGACAAACACAAGCAAGGGGAGCACTTTGGCTATGACTTTTCATGGTAACCCCCCTCTAAAATGGGGTGGTGGACGCAAATCCCCTGAGTGATGTCCACCAACGGGTCCGGCCCCTCCCCTTTGTTGGGTCGCTCGTTGGCCCGAAGGCGCCGCATTGAGGCCGGAGCTTGGCGAAAAGCCGGAACCGACCGAGCTGTTGCTCCGGCTCGTGCGGACGCTCTGCTCCTGAATGGGCGATTTGGGGGGGGGGGGTGACTTGTATGACCGTTTGTTGAGGGTGGGTTGAAAAGAAAACCAAAAGGAATACCCCTATATTTTTTGGATTTGGGGATGCCAGGGTTTGCTGCCGGGCTGGAATTCTGAACATGTGTTGGATACTTGATTTGGGGATGGAATGTGCTGGAACTAGCTTTCAGATGTGGCACCGTGACTTCTTTTTTAGTGTGCAAACCCAAATCAACACGAGCTGCCAACTATTTGGAGGGTACCTTTGACAAAGGGCCATGTATGTGGACCAGGAGCGGTTTTTCTTGCTCAATAGCACCGAAATCCAAGGAGCATGCCTTGGTACAAAAGCTGCACCAACATGGTTGTCTTGGCCATATCCATCCCAAATTCGCAGCAATGGTCATATATGATTGGGGCACCAACGCAGGAGGGGATCTTACTGAAACACCTTTGCACTGTTTTTTGGGGAAAAAGGGTCCCCCCGAAAGAAGTTCTGTTCCTAGGCGGGATCCCATTGCCCATGACTTCCGGGGAAAAATCTGATTCAAGCGGCAAGCCTTCAAGCGCGAGCCTGCAGGAAGGATTCATTGCTCGTGGTGGTCTGCGAAGAGCAGGATGCGTCAGGAGGGGGGCTCGCACAGAAAGCCATGTTGAGTACCTGGTGCTCAGCGAGCTGAGGCTTTGGCAAAGAATCCCACGGATCTATCCTCAATGCTTTGGCCATGAATCCATGAATTCACATTTCCGCCATGGTAGTTGAAGACCGTACTCCTTTCCAATCGGATGACTTCAAATGACTGCCAGGTTTCATGGGAAACACTCTCCTCTTCTCTTTGGATTCCTTGTGCATGCTAAAAGCAACAGGCAAAAACAACATGCATGTTGGGTATGTGTCATCGAGAACCCTCAAAAAAGGGGATGTCGTCCTCGCGTTTTCCCTGACCCTCAACAAAAACATGGCCTCTGACTTCCAATCGCCCAAAGCGCCCTGGGCACCTGGACGAGCTGCTCCTTGCGAAGTTTATCCTGGGACCCCTTGAAGGTCTGGTACGCCGACTCCGCAAACTTCCGCGACGGGTTGTCGGCCTAGCAGCGCGCGCGCGCGCGAGGTCGAGATCTGAGCCATGGGTCAAACTTGCCACGTTGGGCAAGCTGGCTCCTGTGGAATTTCTCTGAATCCCTGCAGGTGGCTCCTTGCAGCACATGGTCATGGTTCCCTAAAGGGCGAGGCAGGCGCGCCTCCATCCTCTTCGCAATGCCGGCCATGACCATTCGCCTGGACACGGGCTGAGGTCGACTCCGGATACGAATCAACCTGGAAGATTCACTAGAGGTGCTCACCACATAAGTGAATTATTCCCTCTAACCAGCATCAATCAACCTGGAATTTGCAAATGCTGGGTTCCCATTGAAGTGTGCATGAAGCAGTTGTTGTGCGAATCTGATCTTAGCATGTTGGCGATGCAACACGGTGCCAGAATCGACCATGCTTAAAGCACGATGACTTTCATAGGTTGAGAACTGCCGGTGACACGTGGCAGTCATGCAAGACCACAATCACCTCGTGTGATTGTGATGTTGTGTGCAACTCACCAAACGGCAACAGCTTTCATACGTATGCTCATACCCGAACAAGCACTCTATGGAACTAGTTCTCCTCATGCATGCCACTCGCTTGAAGTAAACTGCCCTATGCTCACCCTCCACAATTATGTATGCTCTTCATTGGCAAGTTCTTGGAACATCAGCTGGAAGCAGCACATCAAAAAGACTCAACTCCAATCCCGCAGTTCAACTGGCCTTGTCCAACCCCCGGTTGCTAGCATGTTACACTCACCATGTGGTGTCCTGATCTTTTGGGGACTCGCTAATTGCAGTGCACCCTCAAAAGGACACACCCATGTGAAACAACGATTCATTTTGGCCTCCCTTCAGGGCTCTGGACCCGGCCTGAGGAAGGGGTGCTGACGCCATCGACGCAGCCCGCGGACGGTGGCTCGGGCATACTCCGCCGCCTTCTGGGAAAAGAAGACCGTCCCTGAGGTGCGATTCATTTGACAAATGGGTATGTGTCAAAATAGAGACCCCCAAATGGGTGGTTTTCCTTTTGGTTTCCTTCTAAACCATCCCAAAAAGGGTACACTCTAAAATACATACACCCAAATGCTAGAACCAGGGTCCTAAACTGTCTGCTTCCTACTTCCTCATGGGTCCAATGTTGGTATATGAAACCAAATTACATGGATTGTTGCGAGGTTGGGGGCACCCCATTCTAGGCACTGGACCGTCGGATCGCTCGGTCACGCAGGACCTGGGATGGCGCGGTTGCAAGTGACAACTGGATTCGATTTCTTGTTATATTGTGTGTGGTCAAACCTCCTGATATGGCCTACGGTCATGGTTCCACTAATTGGAATCATGACAACGGTTATTGAGCCTTACTACCAGTTGGATGACCATCCCTGTTCACCCCAAGTAAAGGGGCCTTTTGACCATGGCTCATGTGGGCATGAATCGTAAATTCTGGGAATTGGTGAACATCACTACGAGGGTCGTGTCCACAAAACATTTTGAGAGAGCGGTCCGCATTCAACACACCACGGACCACTGAACGACATCAGGATGCCGGACAGATTTACCGACAGAAACCAACATGGGGCCTACTTTGAAGTGGTACCGATTCAATCGTCTGATTCCCAATACCCTTAAAGTTTATTCGCTGTGCAAACTACCAAAGGCCCCCTTGCCTCACCTTCATCCGGAACTCTCACCACTCAAAATCACTTGGAAGGGGGAGGCTTCATCATGATGGGGGGCTATCAGCGCCAAATGATTCCCGTTGCCATTGTTTGGACCCTTAGCATCGGTCAGATAATGAAATACTATCCTTTATCGTTGCCCCGCTCCCCTCACTAGCCTTCGCCATTACTATTAGTCGAATAACGAAGGGCCAAATGATTTCCGTTGCCATTATTTGGACCCCCCTACCCCGCTCACCAGCCTCCGCCATTAGTATTATGCAAATAATGATTGGCCAAATGATTTCCGTTGCCATTATTTGGACCCCCCTACCCCGCTCACCAGCCTCCGCCATTAGTATTATTCAAATAATGAAGGGCTAAATGATTTCCGTGGCGATTATTTGGACCCCCCCCTCCCCCGCCCACCAGCCTCTGCCATTAGTATTATTCAATTAATGAAGGGCCAAATGATTTCCATTGCCACTATTTGGACCCCCCCCCGCTCACCACCCTCTGTCATTAGTATTATTCAAATAATAATGAAGGGCCAAATGATTTCCGTTGCCATTATTTGGACCCCCCCCCCGCTCACCAGCCTCCGCCATTAGTATCATTGAAATAATGAAGGCGATGTCCGTTGCCATTATTTGGACCCCCCCCCCTCCCGCTCACCAGCCTCCGCCATTAGTATTATTTGACACAAGCGCCCAAATAATGAAACACGAAATTATGTTGCCCACAATTATTTGAATAATGCCATTTGTGGTTAATTATTTGTTCGGGTGCCACCTGCTTTCCTCGGTTTCCTCCTCGGATCCCGGACAATCTGGTGGACTCCGGCGATGCCCGGGTGGTCTTCCCGGAGGTGAACCACTGGCCGGATGGGATCCGTTATGAGGGTGATATTTGTTTGTTGAGGTTAGCCTTTTAGGGGTGTTCCAAAGGGCCTTCAAAGGGCAACAACTTATTTTGGAGGGTCCCTATTTAGAAGCATACCCGTTTGGGTTTCTCAAAATAGGAATTGGTCTCCTAAATGCTTGGTTTCCTTCTGGTTTATCTTTGAATACCAACGGAAACGGGGTCACCGTTTAGGGAACCTCCCATATATGCGGGCAAATTACTACAAATCACAAAGCGGAAATACAAAATAAGTGAGGGAACCACTGGGCTTTTGTTTATCCCAATGATGTCATCCATTTCAACCGGGTCGAAGTGGATGTTGTCCGTATTTCCCAGTGATTTCCAGACAAGCCATTATAGTAAGCAATCAGGCTTCCTTACTAGATTCTACATGAGAGTTCCCCTGGACAGCTGCATTAAGTTGAGACTGGAATCACTGGATTTAATATAAGGCACGGTCAAATCTACTTGTTCCCAAGACTACAAGACCGGTTGGCCACACCTGATGCAAACTTCAAACGTACACACATTTACAGTAATACTATTTTTGTCTTTGACGAGGGAACCTTCACAAAGGTGGTTTCCCTGTGGATTCTCTTTGACACAACAAACAGGGTATCCAGAAAAAAAGGGGAAAACAAAAACGATGTGTCATGGAACATACATGTTGAGTCTCGCATCACCTGCCTCGTGCTGTAGAGCTTGCTGCGCCGTCCACCTTTCCTGGAACAGGCAAACCGTCCTTGAAAACTCACATGTTCTGACAACGCAAAGATGAGGCCATTATTTATGGATATTTATGGCTGGGACTGTTCCCCAACCTCCGCTTACCTTGATTTTGGAGTCACACATGTTGCCACGCCATGTTTGTCCTTTGCGAATTGACCTTGAACCAGAAAGGGGTCCCACATGAGAAACATGGGGCTAATCTACGTAGATACTCATGGGCTATATAGCCACAAATGTTCAGTGAGCAATTCCTCCTTTTCCAGTCAAGCTTTGCCTCACACAACACCTGAGCCACAATCATGGAAAACAATAGCAGAGACGGTCCCGAGATTCCAGGCCTACTATGTTGACAAGCTCCCAAAATGTAGAAGCCCGCTACAATTCGGTGGCAACCCCCAGAAAGGGCACCGTAAAACGGGCCCTTACTTAGTTGACCCCCCAGCCCGCCCGGCAAAAGCGCCTCGACTTCCGGCTTCAGCAGCTTGTTGATCAAGTCAATGGCTTCGGGAGAGATGGCGCGCCAAACCTGCGGGCTTCGGCTCGTGCATGGCGCTCAAACAGAGTAACACCTGTGGGCACATTCAGCTTGACGCTGTCCAGTACACTGAGCTTCACCGCTGTCCACGCACAGTGCTGGAGGCCCACGTTCTATTTAATATCCTGAATCTTGATGCATGGGGCAGCCAAGACTGGCTACCCATTTTGCGGACCCCCCCAAGAAAGGACCGAGAACTTCCGCGAGGCCTAAGGGACCCGTCCCTGCCCCATGGCGTCCTCCTTGGAGAAGTCCGGGGGCTCACCTCACATCGGGCATCGACCAAAACTTGACCAGTGCTATGGTTGAAGCTTATACGGCGGTGTGTTTCGTTGATTGAGGGTGCACTTCTGTTTTTTGTTTGGTTTAACTGGAAACAAAGGGACGCCAACCCATTTTGGAGGTCCCCCGATTTTGACAATAGTCCTTGCTACTCTTGCTTGGACGCAAGCAGAGCCATCGATATACCCCAAACCGATACGAAACGATACTGCCCGTGTCCAAAAGTGGCTTGTGAGGAAGCATCAGTGCACATCAGAAAGCAAAGCATGATGCAGCTCTGGTTCCATGTGCAACTCTTCAACAAGGCACCTAAAATGACCAATGGAGATTTTGCGCGCTCTTGGACTCTGGCCGCTCGCTATCCGGTACTCATCAGAGCCGTAAGGCAGGTCGCCTGAGAGCATTACCTGAGCACGGACCCAAAAGAGACGAACCACGTGCCTCGGTTTCCCTTCAGTTTCCTAACCAAGGCTAGAACGAGTATCACAAGCGGTTGGGAGCTCCAGGTGCACCGCAGTTGTGTCACAAGCAGGAAGAGCCCAAATCAGTTCTTTTGGGGAATCCCTGAGGCACACCGTGCACAGAACACCAAAGGCCCGAGACTCGCAGCTCGTGCAATTTTCAGGGGATGCATTGTGAAGGTGCCCCTCGTCCAAAGTCTTTGAGTGCTCACTTCCTGTGCGAAACACTCTTGGTCTGTGCAAGGGGGCACAGGCTGCGTTGGTCATATACGTTCTAGAGGATCCAACTTTCACCAGCAACTTTGTGAACAGAAGTTTGTCCTTGGGCACGATCGCAAGAGTTCTGTTAAGAATGAAAGAACACCAAAGCCTGGAATTCAATACGGCGTTTTGTTCAGTGAACCTATTTTCGCCGTTCAGTTTCCCAGCATTTTGAGAAGCTCTCACATGTCGCCATTCATGGTCGCAATATTGGGATTCCTTTGTAAGCTCGGCAAGCTTTTGGACTTTGAAGAGGAAAACGAGGGGAAATCAGCCATGAGGTTTCCCCAAATTGAGAAGCACAATCATTGCATGCTGACGAGCACATCCGCGCCTCCAGGGGTTCCCAAAAACCTGTTAGCGGCCCTATTAAAACCGAACCTGGGTCTGGTTAATTCCTTGAACCTTGACTAATCGCCTTACAAGTGGTTGGACATAAACCCCTGTAAATGACAACCAAGGGATCCCCCATTCAGATTCACACAGGGAGCCCGTGTCGCGTCGAGAACCCCGAAAAGCGCCAAGCGAGCCGCGTAGATCACGATGCCGCAGCTCCACAGGTCGCTCGCGGCCAGCACATGGCGATCCCCCTGCGAATCCTGGCGTCGTCCAACGCGCAAACAAGAGGGAGCCGGTCTCTTCACATAGCGAACCCCCCATGCTTTCTGACCGCTTTGGGATTGAGACATGGGCAAAAGAGGGTTTTGGGAGTGGTAGACCTGTCTTTTTTCTGGCAAGAAAAAAAGAGAACCTTTGTTCAATCGAACCTCGCCGCAAATTGCCGAAACCAACTCGGATCCCATGGCATTCGCATGTTCCACGCGTGTCCCGCACGAGGGAGCTCCACCGCTTCGTGAAGAGCTCCGGGGCCATGTACGGTACACTCCCGTTAACCTGCGAAGGGATGCTCCATTTAGGGTTCGCATGACCGTCTAAGTATTGGGTGGAGCCAGGATAACAGGATAACCCAGTGCTTTTACCAGGTGGGGGTGGGAGTAAAACATGCACGCAAAGGGGAAACCCTGTGACCTACCACGCCTGCGGTCGGACATACCTTTGTTTGGTGGTTTTGTAAGGCAGCTACAAGGAAACGTAAAGGACCCCAATCACTTTGGAATTTGGCCGAATAGAAGACACGCATGTCGACAGCAACAACCAAGGACCTGGTGCCCAACATGTTCTTTTCCCACCATCACCCCGAAAGTCGAAGGCTGCATCTCGCCTTTAAGTGAGTGGCAAAAAAAAAACAGCAGCCTCACGAGAAACGAACAATGCTGATAGGTCATGACAGCCCAAGCCAGCCTGCCCCTCATGATGGCTTTCCGCACACCTCAGTACGCATCGCCTCTGTGCCGCGACCAGCTTGTACCAATCCGCAAAGAGTGAAAACAATAAAATTAACGACCATCCTGCATCAATGAACCCGGTAAATACAAAGGTGTTCTCACCCAAATGTGGAGGATTTCCTCTCAAACATCCCACTATTAACCAACCAAGGCTTTGTTCACCCTGGCTTCCCAGTACTCGGACTGCCATGAGACTCTGATCATTTCCCTGGCACATGTGGTTGTATAAGGACCCACGAACTCGCTCACAGCCCTGCCATGGGCAACGTGAATGTCCATACGAGCATATACCGCACCTTGGGGCCTATGTCAGTGAACTGTTGCTTGATCCGATCACAACATGCAAGAAATTTCTTCGTCAACTCCAGGGGTAAAAGGGTGTCTATCGACCTTTTCCAAATGCTTGGTTTCGTATGGATTTCTTTGTCAAACGGTAGGGGTCCAACTTCTTTAAAAAGGAACCCCATGAGAAATGGCCTGGTGGACCCTACGTCGCCAGGAACACAGCCACATCCATTGAATCAATCAGGTCTCGGCTGCAGCTTGTGGCCCGGGCCGGACGTGCGTGGCTATACCGAAGTCCGCCAGCTTGAGTGTGGCAGAGGCCACATCCTGACGCACTGCGATTCGACTCGACGAAGGACTCGAAACCTATCGCAAAGGCACCCGGAAGGACCAGTGACCCCACATCATCAACTAAACTTACACTTGCAATACTTTTCTTGGATGAGACATGTAAAGGTTTCTTGAGAACCTGCCATTCCACAGCCTTTGCAGGGGCGTGATGGGAAAGCCTCTTGGAAGTTACATGTTCAATGCTCAAGGAGCAACTTAGGAATGAGCGACGCTGGTGTTGAAAGTAAGACCAACTCACTGCTGCAGAACTAGATGTTCGGCCGGTGAAAGGGTTCAAACTAAAAAAAACACTACTCCGCTCTGACGGATGATTTTGGAGATTCCTTCTCGAAGCTGTAGAGTTGGTAACTTGGAAGATGACTGCAGCTCACTGCTCAATGGATGCGAGGAGCACCATCAATACGCACGCGCACAATTTCAACCCTGCCTCATGACAAACACCTGACTGGCCCCCGGTCAATAGAACACAGCCCTCGCATCTCTTAGTGTTTCGCCGACCGGCACTCGGAATGAGACTGCTCTGGATGAATTGACCAGCTCAGAATCAGGGAACTCCAGGTAACGAATTACCCTGCGCACGGTCGTAACGCTGCACTGCTACAAAAGGCCGAAATTCATATACTGATTCGGAGCGATAGCCAGGAATGACGCTTGGCGTGCCCATTTGCGACTCTTGACGACAAGTGAGTATTGAGGCCATAAAGGACCTTTTGGCTCCGCTTGCTAGGCCTCTGAATCAGTGGACAAACGCATGATGTGTTGCAGTGCCCACATTTTGAGGTCTCTTGGAGGTATGTCGCAAAAGCTCACGCCGGAGCCCCGGAGTTCATGTTGTGCCAACATCCAAAGCGACCTAACTAACTCATGAAGCCCTCGCATCGGCCACTCGCTGCTTGTGGATGTTGCGTTGTCCTTCCAGAGAAGGCCAGGGTTCCTTGAAGAATGTGCACAATCTCGAAATCAGCATCCACTGTCACAGGTAAGGTTTCCAGCGAATGCACCCTGGAGCCATCCGAGATACGCCTCGCCAGTGGTGTTCAGCAAGAAGTTCTCGGGCCTCATGGGTATTCAACCAGACAAACGAGTGAGCAAACAAACAAACTATACTATAACTAGCCAACAAACAAGTACACAAGCACACACACACACACACAAAAACAAACAAACACAAGCCATCAAGCAAGTAAACAAGTAACAAACAAACAAGAACTACAAACCCAACACAACTGGTTAACCGGTTGACCACGTCATGTCTAGAGAATCGACGACGAATGGCTTGCACCAAAACCATTGAATAACGTCAGTATCCCTCCAAGAGCGCAAGCTCACCAACCCGCAGACAGCTACTTGTCCTTTAAAGTGTCACATGCAATTCCAGCACTTGAAAACTGGGCAAACATCTGGTAGATGAACCATTCCATCCAGCGATTTTCAAAACTAAGAACACAGCTTCACATCCCGATGCACCACTCCCATTGAGTGGCAGTACCTCGCGCAGGCTTGGGCAACCAATGATTCTCAAGTAATCGTTCTGGTTGCATGTGGGACGAGCTTTGGAGAACCCCATGTTGTAGATCGGAGATTCGCAACGCCAAACAAATGGGAGCCTTCTCAAAACGGTGAGCCCGGTCTCCCTTGTTTTCTTTCAACACTTGGCATGTCAGCAGCGTCAGCAAAAGCTGTTTGCTTTCAAGCCCCCACTGCCACTCACCATGAGCAAGAACAGAAACGCAGCCATTCCTTATAGGCTCCAGTTATTGGAAGCAGGTACAGGAGCCGAATCTTCCAGATCGGTATCTTTTGGCTGCAATACACCTTCTTTTCGTTGAGCAAGCGGAGTGGTTTCAAGGAAAACCACGGGAAGGCAACGATCTGCCCATTTGGGAGACAAACCCATGCAGGTGCCATATTAAAATCATACATCCCCGTTGTTGATCCCCGTCTCATGTTGAATGCAAGGCTTGAACACGACTTGCTTTCAGTGCAAGCCCACGCATCGACTCGTGTCAGTGTATCGAATACGATGTTCAGAAACCGAATCTCAGGTCCGTCTGGCGCACGCCAGGGCACTCAGCATCTGCTCCGCAAAAGCTCGCGCCAAGGTCTCTGGCAGGTACCCGTGCGGCGACTCCGTCACGAGGCCTTGGCGGTTTACTGCATTTTTTGATCTCCTACTCCAAGGTAGACTTAACGCAGGAGTGGCGGATGTCGACAAAAGAGAACCCCTCTCTCATCACTTTCGTGTTAACCGCCCGGCTGCATGGCACAATGCTCTTGCCTTTTTGCACAGTATCCCCACGCTGGCGTCTCTCACTTTAAAGGACTTGGAAATAAACATCTCCCTTCAACTCAGCTTTTTGAGGCCTGAATACGACTGGGCTAACACTGAAAGCCAACAGGTCTCAGGTGATCTTTGAACGACTGAGCGCGCACAAAGCACAAGGAACAATAAACAACTGCAAATGAAAGCTACTAGCAAGACTGCTCTGACGTGACACGTGCAACACTTGAAGAGATCAACGGGATTGCCATCGAAAAACTTTAACAAAGGTGTTTCAAACGTGTCCTTGCTGCCAGGATCCCTCCTCTGCGGTGGCTTTTAGAACCACACAGGGAGAGGAAAGCGGCCACTTGTCTGTCGGACCTGTCGCAAATCTGTATGGGCTTTCAAAAAGAACGTCAACCAAGTCCAAACCGTTTTCAATGTCATCAACAACGCCGGTGTCCAGGCGCTACAACTCGTAAGAACTTCCCTCAGCGACAGGAGTCGTTTCCAATTGAGTACATTCCGTCTCCATGCACAGGGTGACATGTTCCCGAATTTCTCGGACGTTCGCACGCCAGCGCCCGACAGCGTGGACCGCTTCATAGCCCCGTGTTGACTGACTAGCCACTTTGACAACTTTTGCTTTGCTTTGGTTGGTTCTTCTTCTCTCCCTTCCAAACCAATCCCAAAAGCATCCAACCCCTCCAGGACTCTCCAGCTATCTGTCCTCCTATGAGCTTGCGAGGTCCATTTGACAGCTAGTTGAGAGTTGAAGGGTAGCTGTGGACTCGCTTTTGCTGAAGAAACCGTGACTGGACAAGTTTGGTCTGCTCCCGTGTACCCTCCCTCCAACAATGGAAGTCGACAGGAGGGTGTAGGAAGACAACTTTCTTTTTCAGGAAGCCCCCGATCGTCCACTTCCATTGCTGGAGCAGGGCTTGAGGCTTAAAACAAAGAAGGGCTAAAACAAAGTGGTTTGAAGGGTGAAAACAAAAGGGAGCCCATTGCTGGAGGGTATGGAAAGCATAACCCTGACTTCCACCTAAGGTCATGAGCTTTGGCTCCATCGCTCCGAGCCGCTAAAGAGGTCGCCCCCACTGCAGTACTCCATCAGTAGGAACACCGCCTAAGCGGATCGAATATGGATTCTGTCGCTTCCTCAGATCCCACCAAGCACTCTATGAACTCTGTGGTGCCAAGCATCCGAATTCCACCAAAGTTTTTACCCGTTCGCGTAATCTAGAGAAGAATTGAAACTGAGGAGGCTGACCTGGTACACCTGGTTCTCTGGTAGACTTCCACTGGCAACTGCAGTGTACCCTCCCTACATAAACCGACAGAAAGTCTGGGCGGTTTTCAACTCGACACCAATGTGTGTGTGTGTGTGGCTTGTTATTTTCTTTGGGGGGGCCCTATGGAAACACTCATGGAAATCCTGCGGGGGATTTGCCGCTGGCCATGAATCAGGGGATCCTGGCCTCCGCATCTTCGTTGACTTCATAGAGGCGCACCACGTTGGGGTGGTCCAGCATACGAAGGTTCTGCGGCGAGAGCCAGCGGTATCCCAAATGTAACGCAAGTCCACCCGATTTTGTCCAGCCCCAAAAAGGACACCCTTTTAAAAGGCCCAGACAATCCATGTAGGCAATATAAACCAACATTTGACACATATAGAGTGTAAATGTGGTAAACATTGCATACATGGAGTTTCTTTGGGAAGGGTAAAGCAGGGTCTTTCCACCAACCTAGTTCAACCGGGTCTTTGGAAGGTTTGGGCATGATCAAAGCTGCGGTTCACTGTCCTGGTTCCTCCAGGAATGCTAGCGGTAGTCTCAGATCCCCGTAAGACTGATGACCATTGATCCCTCAATATCACCATGTGTCTTCCTCTTTGTCGGGAAAGCACTTTGGCCGGTCTAGTTGAGCCTGGCCACAAAAGAAGCATGGACGCAAACCTCTGCCCAATATCACGAATGGTGCCAAACAGGAATCAGAACGGCAACTTACTGCGCAGGGTGCCAATTCACACCTCCCACTCGCCAAAAGCAAAACAAAGTCCCCCCTTCTATACATCATTCCCTTTGTACCCAGAAAGGAAAGCTTTTAGGCTTAGAGGAACCCGACGGACACCCACCATTTTCTTTTTGGGGAGGGGGTACCCCGTTGACACATACCCACCTCTCTAAGTGCAGGGCCTTGATCTCTGCGCGCAGCGCACTGGAGTCCTGTTCCGCCTGCGGAGATCCACCGAGTCAAACCAAAGACAGGGCGAAAGTAGGCGGCACCACTCACCTGTGGTGAAGCAAAAGGGGTGACCGGGGTAACTAAACCAACATGAATTGAACAACAAACACATCCATTCATGACTGAGCCAGCATGAATTGAACAAACAGATCATCCTTTCACCAAAACCGTACACAGGGCGAATGTGTCCACAAAGCACCACGGACGGGGCTTAAATGAGATGATGCGCTGTAAAAGAGCTTTTAGAGAAGGTCGGCCAAAAAGGGTGGCACTTTTTGAGGGTTGAGATTCGTTTGAAGGGAGATCAAAGAAAAAGGACAGCATGTTTAAGGTACTCCCCTGCAGATTCAGATGCAGGGAACCCCAACTATTTCTTCTAGAGGGAGCTCCTTTTGGGGTCCCGGACCCCTTGGTCAAACTTGCAGGTGAGTAGCTCTGCAACCAAATGAGGGCAGAACCTCCACTCGCCTTGTGGAGAACTTTGCAGGCGTAGTACTGCTCGCTGATCTTGTGCTGCACCTCGCGAGCTCCGAGCAGACAACGAGCGCCGTTCGAAACGGCTTGAAACGGCTTGGTTAAAATGAAAGGGCCCTGGCCACCCATACAACAGGAACCACAAGGATAATGGTTAAACTTTAAACACTATGTTGTTCCACATGTGTAAACAGAGGGTTGGCCCAACCCTTGCCACAGTTGGACAAAAATCGGTGGCACTCGGTGAATGATTAAAACCAAACTGAAGCCAGTGCCATCTGATCATGTGGTCATGCACCTGTGCTTTTCTTCAATTGAGAGGTCAATTAGTGGTAGTGGAGCGCTTGGAGGTTTGACGATTCCTCTCAGTTGCTGCTTGTATGAATTCATGTGCCAAAATATATTCTTCCGGCTCCACTGCCACGGATCGAACCTGCCAAGCAACATGTTGGCTGAACCCACCGAGTGCCCAGCAATGAACACTGCACCGTTCCTCCCTTCGCCAACCAAATTCACCATGTTGTAGTCTTGATACCTGCCGTATGATAAGCATCGGTGGAGCTGACACGAGGTGCAGCCAATCAGGGAAGCAAACCCTGACACCAGGTGCTTCTTGCGTAAAAAGATTCTAGGGTCCAGGACCATTTAGGGAACCAAAGTGACCTGTGCAATTGTTCAAGTGGGGGCTATGAATGTCAGCATACCCTGCTCTTGGATTGGCAGCTTTCTCAAGACTCCTAAGGCTCCTGGCAAGCCAAAGTGACCTGAAACGGCCTCCCAAGCTCATAACAGAAGCAGATGTCTACCATGTAGCGTCGTAAAAGAAGACCTTCTGTCGGGCACGTGTCGCTCAGCTTCCGGTGCCAGCAATGCACAATGGCATCACCTTGCTCGAGATTTGCTGCGTCCAGTGGCCTTCCATTTCGTTTTCCCAACAACTGTTGGACTTTCTCTAAAAAAAAGGGCTTTGCATGTGGTTTCCTGCAAACCACCGAAGAAAGAACAACACATCTGCCTGTGTTTGTGTGTGGGTGAGTGTAAAACCCAAAGGGAAAGCCAAAGGAAAGCCCCACGCTTTTCGGCAATTTTGACAATACCTGTTTCTTTCGGATTCGCAAAGGTTTCAGCTTCACTTTGTTTGCTTTTTAATGAACCCCAAAGCGGGGTACCTTCAACCCCTCCCAGGGGTTGACTTCCATGATCTTCCATGCACGGCGTGCCCTGCCTGGCGCCCACCTGAAGGAAGCGGAGGTGGCCTGCTTGGACACCTCGAAGCGGAGCGACATGGAACATAAACAGCCATCGTGTCTTGGAGGAAATTCCTTTTGAGGGATGCCTTTTTTTGAGTTCCAGGAGAATTTGGAGGGACTGCAATGTACTTGTTACCAGGGTTTAATGGCTGGATGTGAGTTCGCTAGCACTCGTTGTAGAAGCAACCGGATCTGGATTTCCGCCTTCCATTCCAAGCAATGCTCGGTGTCCGATGCCATCTGTACATGCAAGCACTTGACACGACAAGGCTACAGGGCGCCGGCAAAAGTGGAGTTCAAAGACGATGAGAAGGATGAAGAAGGAGTTGCGTTGGGAACGTCGCCTCGACGTGAGTTCCAGTAGCATTGGAAGCAAGAGATTGCAAGCATTGAAGCCTTGCCTGACAAGGCGCTCGAAGATTTCGAGCGTGTGTAGGCTGCCACGCCCCTGCAAGCCATTCATGTGCACTGAACCGTCTGAGATGCTACGTCGCCCCTGACTTAAACCGATCCGAATCCCCAGCACCCCGATGTTCTCCTTTTCGCCTTTGCCCAGCTTCGGGATTTCGGGATAAAAACGATGGCTCCAAGCTCCTATTAGACGACTCCTCTCTCGGCCCTGGGGATAACCGAGAGACCCCGACCCGCAAACCACCCCGTTGCAGGCCTCTCGCTGCTGAAAGAAGCGTTGGACTTAAAACTGAGCAGCGGCACAGGCCCTCCTCCACGCCTTGCCGCAAATGAGAGCTGTGCACAAGCTGCATCCGGACGAAAATGTCCATGGGATCTCATCAACAAGTTAAGTTGCTCTGGGTAACTGAGCTAAGCAATTCTCATGATTGGCTGCCCCCAGACATTGCAACTTAAGTAAGAATATTTGGAATCCGATGGAATCAAGAGGATATGCGTCGTGTCCAAAAATACAATAGGTAGGGAACAAAGCAAAGGGCTCAAGCGGCGAAGGCAAAGGGCAAATGGCGAAATAATCAAAGCATAAACACGTGGATCGCATAGGTACGCCTTTTCTGATGCACTGGCCCAAAGCATTGTGCTCCGAGAACCGGAAAAGGGGCCACTCAGGTATGGGTCGCATGGCCAATGTCGACGCCACCGAATTTCCTTCGAGCACGACCGCTAGACATGTATCGGGAAGGCAAGGCCTTGCTCGAAGACAGGACACTTGTGCCAATTTTGGCGCATCATGCAAATGCCAGAGTGGACGTTTTGAAACCTGTATGCCTACTCTACACCATGCAGCAAATTGGCTTCTGAATTTGCTGACTTGCGACAGCGGCGAGGGATTGACTAGGACAGCAGGGTTAAGTCTCTTTGAGCATACACTGCGAACTATATTGGAATACTTCCTGAGCGGCTCTTCTCTTCCTCGGAGCAAGCGGAACAAGCGTGCAGCATGCAAAATGGGCCAACGCTGCGGTTTGGTTGTTCTTGTTGTTGTTGTTGTTGTTGTTGTTGTTGTTGTTGTTGTTGTTGTTGTTGTTGTTCCCCACATCTTTGTGTGGGGTTCTTACTTTTACCGCTCCGCGCCCGCCGCCCGCCGTCCGCCGTCCGGCCCCGCCGTCCGCCGCCCGCCCCGCCGCCCCCGCCACCCACTCACTCACACTCACTGTCTCACACTCACTCACACACACTCACTCACACACACTCACTCACTCACACTCACTCACACTCACTCACTCACTCACCCGCACAAAGTCACTCACTCACACACACTCACTCACACACACTGACTCACACACACTCAGTCACACACACTCACTCACACTCACTCACACACACTCACTCACTCACTCACAGGGGCATTTGGGAGCTGTTTAAAGGGCTGGGGTGTTGTCGCGCGCGCGGCTCGGGGCTCGCGAAATCGTGGCAGGCGCAGCACTTTGGAGATGCCGTTGCCGAAGTCGTGGCAGGCGCAGCATTCTGTGCATCTGAGCGTGTGTTTGCGTGGCAGGGGCAGCATTTGGCAGGTGTCACTCACACACACTCACACTCATTCACACTCACTTACACTCACTCACTCACTCACTCACAGGGGCAGCATTTGGGAGCTGTTTAAAGGGCTGGGGTGTTGTCGCGCGCGCGGCTCGGGGCTCGCGAAATCGTGGCAGGCGCAGCACTTTGGAGATGCCGTTGCCGAAGTCGTGGCAGGCGCAGCATTCTGTGCATCTGAGCGTGTGTTTGCGTGGCAGGGGCAGCGAAGTCGTGGCAGGCGCAGCATTCTGTGCATCTGAGCGTGTGTTTGCGTGGCAGGGGCAGCATTTGGCAGGTGTCACTCACACACACTCACTCACTCTCACTCCACACTCACACACTCACTCACACTCACTCACTCACTCACTCACACTCACTCACGCTCACTCACTCACTCACAGGGGCAGCATTTGGGAGCTGTTTAAAGGGCTGGGGTGTTGTCGCGCGCGCGGCTCGGGGCTCGCGAAATCGTGGCAGGCGCAGCACTTTGGAGATGCGGTTGGCGGCAGCACATTCTGTGCATCTGAGCGTGTGTTTGCGTGGCAGGGGCAGCATTTGGCAGGTGTCACTCACACACACTCACTCACACACTCACTCACTCACTCACTCACTCACTCACACTCACTCACTCACTCACAGGGGCAGCATTTGGGAGCTGTTTAAAGGGCTGGGGTGTTGTCGCGCGCGCGGCTCGGGGCGCGCGAAATCGTGGCAGGCGCAGCACTTTGGAGATGCCGTCGCCGAAGTCGTGGCAGGCGCAGCATTCTGTGCATCTGAGCGTGTGCTTGCGTGGCAGGGGCAGCATTTGGCAGGTGTCACTCACACACACTCACTCACACACGCTCACTCACACACACTCACTCACTCACACTCACTCACACTCACTCACTCACTTCACAGGGGCAGCATTTGGGAGCTGTTTAAAGGGCTGGGGTGTTGTCGCGCGCGCGGCTCGGGGCTCGCGAAATCGTGGCAGGCGCAGCACTTTGGAGATGCCGTTGCCGAAGTCGTGGCAGGCACAGCATTCTGTGCATCTGAGCGTGTGTTTGCGTGGCAGGGGCAGCATTCGGCAGGTGTCACTCACACACACTCACACTCATTCACACTCACTTACACTCACTCACTCACTCACTCACAAGGGCAGCATTTGGGAGCTGTTTAAAAGGCTGGGGTGTTGTCGCGCGCGCGGCTCGGGGCTCGCGAAATCGTGGCAGGCGAAGCACTTTGGAGATGCCGTTGCC